TGCAAAGTTAAATTCGGTTTTCAAAGGATAAAAGTCTCTTGTGAGTGTTCAAATGGTTTAATTTGCCATACTGACTTCAGAAAATGCGCGATTTCATAAAAAGAAAACATGAACATGCCAAAATGTCAATTTAAAAATCAATAGCGTGTATGTCCACCTCTGGTTGCGATGCAAGCAACACATCTTGGTCTCAAGGAATGGACCAGGCGTCGAACAAAGTCCTGTGGGATATCTGTCCATATCTGCTGGAGCATGTTTCGACGTTCCTGGAGTGTCTGGAACACGTGGTTGACGTCGAAGGCGAGGTTCCATCTTATCCCACATGTGCTCGATTGGTGAGAGATCAGGGGAGCAAACCGGCCAGGGGGTGAAATTCACGTTGTTTTGATGAAGAGAACCCTGAACAAGTCGAGCAATATGAGACCGGGCGTTGTCATGTTGAAAGGTAATGCCTGGGTGATGACGACGCAAAAAACGGTAGAACAACAGGGCCGATTCTCTCGTCGCGGTAGCGCTGTCCATTGAGTTTTCCTTCTACCAGTATCAAACAGGTCGTCTGTCTTGCTGTAATCCCACCCCATACCATAAAGCTGCCGCCCCCGAACCCATCTTCTTCCATGACACAATGATTGACGTAACGTTCACCTCGACGTCGATACACCCGAATCCGTCCATCGTTGTTGCTGAGGTGAAAGCGAGATTCGTCAGTGAATAGAACTTGTCCCCACTGCACGGCCGTCCAGCGTAGACGCTGTCTGCACAACTGTAGGCGTGCTTGCCGGTGGTTTCCTGTCAAAATGGGACGTCTGGCGGGTCTTCAATCCATGCACATCTAAGGCGACGAGGTACGATTTGTGAAGATATTCGTCGAAGGCCAGTCACTGTTGCTGGCTGGAATCGATTTCGTAGATGTGTTGTTCGAATCCAGTTGTCTTGTCGATTAGTGGTTACGCGTGGCCTGCCACTCCGAGGATGGTCTCTGACTGCATTCGTCTATTGCCAACGTTGTCATTAACACCTAATTGTGTTTCTGTGGACGTTAAATTGTCTTGCAACATCACGTTGACTCGATCCTGATTCAAGCATGTCAATGGCTCGCAGACGCTGATTTTCGGACAGGCGTGGCATTTCGTAATGTTGAATAATTGCGTAAATTTGTTGTTTTTCTGAGTGGTTGTTGTCAGCACGATGCTAAACAATGCATATGGAATCCCATTAACGCACATGTTTTTATACCCATTCTTGGGTAGTGAAATGCATGGGGCTTGCATAAAAGTCAACTATTGCATGGAATGCATGCTTTTCTGTAGCAGTTGCGTTTTTGTGACTTGATTCCATACATGTACTACAATATTGAAAACCCAACTCTACTTGTTTGAAAAATACACTAAAATATTGGTATCACAGCGACTTTTGTTGTTGAGTATATATCCTATAAACAATCAACGGATGGTAATCGATTGTTCAAAATTGGCATCATCATTGTCGTTGATCCCGGTCCCATATTACACACATTGAACACCAGATTTTCAAGATGAAGGTAATCTTTTATCATGGGCATCGTCGTCCCATGGAAGCTATCAGATCCCGAACTGTGGCCTGGGCATTGTTCTTCCCCTCTGCCTGCAGTGCTTGTGATAATTGTCGGAGGTTCTGTGGTTGTTGTTGATGTGCTCGCAGTCCTTGATCCAGTGCATTCTATAAATGTTTGATTGGGATTAAATCTGGAGATCTGGAGGGCCATGGCGGGATTCCTTAAAAGGCTGTTGTCAGTCCTGCCGTGTGAGATTGGGCGTAGTGTTGTTGGAAAATGACGTTCGCTTGTTGCATATTGGGAAGGACGTTTGGCGGAAGAATCTCAAAGGTGTAACGTTGTGCCCACGTCTTCACACAACCACCACCTCTGTCAGTCGTGGCATGGTTTCGCTGTTCACTTGCTGTAAAATTGAGATGGCATGTTTTACGAGTTCAACAACAAAAGTTGCAGCGCAGATTCATACAGTTTGCCCATCGGTTTTTCGATTCATACCTCAATGAACCGAAAAAAATACACAGTCAGTCCTTCAAGAACTGTTTTTGGACACATACACATGCTGTAGAGTGGACGCCTTGTACTGCAGAAACATATGTGACATACACATGCTGTAGAGTGGACGCCTTGTACTGCAGAAACATATGTGACATACACATGCTGTAGAGTGGACGCCTTGTACTGAAGAAACATATGTGACATACACATGCTGTAGAGTGGACGCCTTGTATTGAAGAAACATATGTGACATACACATGCTGTAGAGTGGACGCCTTGCACTGAAGAAACATATGTGACATACACATGCTGTAGAGTGGACGCCTTGCACTGAAGAAACATATGTGACATACACATGCTGTAGAGTGGACGCCTTGTACTGAAGAAACATGTGTGACATACACATGCTGTAGAGTGGACGCCTTGTACTGAAGAAACATATGTGACATACACATGCTGTAGAGTGGACTCCTTGTACTGAAGAAACATATGTGACATACACATGCTGTAGAGTGGACTCCTTGTACTGAAGAAACATATGTGACATACACATGCTGTAGAGAGGACGCCTTGTACTGAAGAAACATATGTGACATACACATGCTGTAGAGTGGACGCCTTGTACTGAAGAAACATATGTGACATACACATGCTGTAGAGTGGACGCCTTGTACTGAAGAAACATATGTGACATACACATGCTGTAGAGTGGACGCCTTGTACTGAAGAAACATATGTGACATACACATGCTGTAGAGAGGACGCCTTGTACTGAAGAAACATATGTGACATACACATGCTGTAGAGTGGACGCCTTGTCCTGAAGAAACATATGTGACATACACATGCTGTAGAGTGGACGCCTTGTACTGAAGAAACATATGTGACATACACATGCTGTAGAGTGGACGCCTTGTACTGAAGAAACATATGTGACATACACATGCTGTAGAGTGGACGCCTTGTACTGAAGAAACATATGTGACATACACATGATGTAGAGAGGACGCCTTGTACTGAAGAAACATATGTGACATACACATGCTGTAGAGTGGACTCCTTGTACTGAAGAAACATATGTGACATACACATGCTGTAGAGTGGACGCCTTGTACTGAAGAAACATATGTGACATACACATGCTGTAGAGTGGACGCCTTGTACTGAAGAAATATATGTGACATACAAATGCTGTAGAGTGGACGCCTTGTACTGAAGAAACATATGTGACATACACATGCTGTAGAGTGGACGCCTTGTACTGAAGAAATATATGTGACATACACATGCTGTAGAGTGGACGCCTTGTACTGAAGAAACATATGTGACATACACATGCTGTAGAGTGGACGCCTTGTACTGAAGAAACATATGTGGCATACACATGCTGTAGAGTGGACGCCTTGTACTGAAGAAACAAATGTGACATACACATGCTGTAGAGTGGATGCCTTGTACTGAAGAAATATACAGTAAACCACGGTTAAAACGAACTCAAAGGGACTATTATTTTTAGTTCGTTATAACCATAGTTCATTGTAAGCATATATACAGCATAATTACAGCAAAAAGTCGGGACTTAAAAGTAAGTTCGTTATATCCGTCAGTTCGTTATAAGCGTATTCGTTATAACTGTAGTTTACAGTGTGTGACATACACATGCTGTAGAGTGGACGCCTAACGTGTATACATATCTAGTGCCTTCTGTTGACGGGGGAGATTGTCAGCTTGCTGACGGGGTTAACCTCTTTGGTCATATGGACAAGGCGTCCGACCTCTGATCAGAAGGTCCGTGGTTCGATCAGAAGGTCCGTGGTTCGAATCCCATCACGCGACTCGGAAATGTTATAGCCGCTACAATGGCGTCAAACGTGGGGCTTAGCACGTTCATATAATATTTGAGCAAAATAAACATCAGTAGTACCCTACTATGCGGCCCGGGACGTGCCTTCTGTTGACGGGGGAGTATGTAGCAGGGCGTGGAGTCATCCAAAACATGACATCCTTACCTTGTCAGCATGCTGACGGGGTTAACCTCTGATCAGAATGTCCGTGGTTCAAAACTCATACATTCATAAACATATAGAAAACTCAGTGACTGACAGTACTTTGATGGGGGCCTGATATGTATTCAAAGGCAAAATCAACTGTGACGTAAATTTATTGATGACTAGAAAGTGATGATAAACGCGTTGACATTGTCATCTCAAATTGTTTTCCTTTATCAATCATAACCACATACAACATATCTTCATCTCCGAGCACAGTAAACAGTCATACACTTAAACTCTTCACAAACAAGAGAGACGTTTTTGTTTATGTATTTTGAAAAGACTAAATTATGATCATGAGAATGTGATGACTATTCCACACAGCGATCTAATCGCTACGATTGTCGTAAGTCTGTGTTCAAGTATGGGAAGTACGATGGACTTGGCTGTGAAAGGGATTGGGGTACATACTTAACACACAACATATAAATAGTATCTACAGTATGAAACAAGTATATCGCTGCATATATATAGTATTCAATTATTCCCCTCAGAAGTTTTCTACATCCACAGATGACCAGAAACTACAGTTCTTGTTTTGAAAACTCAAGATTACGATTTGTCTTTCATATCCACCATCCACACATATGCTACAGACAGCGATGATATTACAAGTGTATCATACACACTTACTTTTCCTACCTTTTCTATTGTATTTACATCATCCCCCTATTCTTCAAACAAATCAATCCACCAATCAATCCAATTTGTTTTATTCCTCCCTCTCTCAAAATGTGCAACCTAAACTAAATGTACCTGAACCCTCATTTATGCTCTCTCTCACTTTCTCTCTCTCTCTTTCTCTCTCTCTCTGTCCCTATCTCTCTTTCTCTCTATCTCTCTCTCTCTATCTCTTTCTCTCTATTTCTCTCTCTATCTCTCTCTCTATCTCTCTATCTCTCTCTCTCTATCTCTCTCTTTCTCTATCTCTATCTATCTCTCTCTCTCTCTCTATCTATCTCTCTCTTTCTTTCTCTCTCTCAAACTAACAAAAATACAAACTGACAATTTCTCCCGTATTATAGGTTAGGTTAGGTTAGTTGTTGTTTAAAGCCGAACTCAGCAATATTCCAGCTATATGACGGCGGTCTGTAAATAATCGAGTCTGGACCAGATAATCCAGTGATTGACATCATGAGCATCGATCCACGCAGTATGGGATCGATATGACATGTATCGACCAAGTCAGCGAGCCTGACCACCCGATCCCGTTAGTCGCCTCTTACGACAAGCATTGTCGTCCTTTAAGGCAAGCATGGGTTGCTGAAGACCCTTGTTATAAGAATATGGGAACGTTATGTGTCATCATTCATGTTCGCTGTCTGCAACCTTTTCAACATTGTCTAGCTTGATTTCATCGAAAGCCACATTATCTTTTATGTCAAGGGTTGGTTCACTTGTGGAGCTCTCCAGTCCGTCCTCAAACTGACTATGTTGTGTCTTTCGGGTGACTATGTACTTTCTGGCAACAGCTGTGATTTTCCGGCGGTTCAGTACAACGACGACCACGATGACGACCAGCACAAGCACACCAGCACAGACACCAGCAATGAGGGCTACAGGAACATCAGGGTCTTGGGCAGGGCTTCCAGCTGTTGTGGTTGTGTCGGTTAGGCTGGATGTATCTGATGACAAATAGTACATTTATTGTTTCATCACAGTTAGTATTCAAAGGTGGGAGAGTTTGTTTTAACCCGCTAATGCATTTTTAAAAGGTGTATTGATTTGTATTTGAAAAGTGAGTAGATTGTTTTTGTTTTTGACCAAAATACAAGTTACCCTTCATGAGCAGCCTAATCTCAAGAGTCCCCGAGTTAATGATATCACGCGTTACTTGGGGTAGCCCAGTGGTTAAAGCGTTCGCTCGTCGCACCGAAGACCCGGGTTCTATTCCCCACAATGGTACAATGTGAAGCCCATTTCTGGTGTCCCCCATCGTGATATTGCTGAAATATTGCTAAAAGCGGCGTAAAACAATACTCACTCATGTTACATGTGAGGCAACCATTGTACAATAATCAGACGAAAACATAATTTTACATAGTCCCTTCAATCAACTCTTTCGGGTGCCCGAGTGGCCCAGGCGCCGCGATTCGCTGTGCAGAGTTGCGTCCCTTGGGCACGCCAGAAACCTATGATTGTAGGTTCGAATCCCGGTTCGCCCCCATGTTTCTAGGTTTGTCAGCACCATACCCGTGCTCGTGGGTTTCACCGAAGTGGTAAACGTCTGAGAACTGCATCACTTCGGGCTTTCCTCCCATATTAAGCTGACACGCCGCGATATAACTGGAATACTGTTAAAAGCGGCGTTAAAACCAACTCACTCACTCAATCAAGTCTTCCAACCTGAAAAACTCTCTCACCAACAGAGTCTTTTTACTGTGCGTCATGAGAGATTTTACGAGCGGACTGTGCTCGTGCAGGACGAGACCGAATGGTGTACAGGAACGCAATTCGACGAATAATATTTGTGTGTGACACGATTCATCTTCTGACCACAATTAGACTCTCAGTATGGTACTCAAAGTGCAAACGGGAACATTTGTGACGTAACATCAACATATTGACGTCGTATTGTGTATGGGTATAACGCGACAAAGGACCAATCAGTTTAGGTTTGTTTATTTGTTTGTTTTTTACGCCGCAGTCAGCAATATTCCAGCTACATGACGGCGGTCTGTAACTAATCGTGTCTGGACTAAACAATCCAGTGACTGATATTATGAGCATCAGTACACTGTATATGTAACAACAATGGTGGATTGCCACTGTGCAACTCGTATAGACCGTAGTTTCTTGCTATGCTGTACAACGTAAACAACAAACAAGAGTAAAGAAAGCGAGTGAATGCTGTTTAACGCCTGTAATTGTTCGAGTATGTAAGATTATAAGATATATGTGACAAACAGACCTTATGTTAGGAAAATCACATTTTGATTTTTCATTTTATTTTTAAACAATAGTAAATTCGGAACACAAAGATATAATTCACAAGATTCAATTCATGTTTATCATAGAGATACATGACATTTAAAATCATTTGCCGACTGATAACTGTTTATGGTATAATAACATTTATTAGACATAATGTCTGATGAATAAAAAGTAGACATGTATTACGGTTGGGACGAGTCGAAATTTTCTACACGGGTACCCGACCCCCCTTACCCGACCTTACCCGGGGACCCACTTTCGGTCTCAAGTTAGGTAAGTATTTATATATAGTAAAAAACGATCTGATCGTCCATAAACTGAAGTTGACTGAAGCTTTGTCTTTACAAAAACATATAAAAATCAGAAGCTTAAGGAATGTGTGCACAGTCAGAATGAAAATGCGAACATTAGCAACTTGTCCTTATAAAGTGTAACCATGACATTTTATTGTACACCTGGGTGTCGTTGTACAAAGCGATCGTAGCGCTAAGGCGAGCGTAGGTCCCACCCTTTAACATAGACGTACGACAGTCGTAGCGCTAAGGCGAGCGTAGGTCCCACCCTTTAACATAGACGTACGACAGTCGTAGCGCTAAGGCGAGCGTAGGTCCCACCCTTTAACATAGACGTACGACAGTCGTAGCGCTAAGGCGAGCGTACGTCCCACCCTTTAACATAGACGTACGACAGTCGTAGCGCTAAGGCGAGCGTAAGTCCAATCCTTTAACATAAACGTACGACAGTCGTAGCGCTAAGGCGAGCGTACGGTACACCCTTTAACATAGACGTACGACAGTCGTAGCGCTAAGGCGAGCGTAAGTCCCATCCTTTAACATAGACTTAGGACAGTCGTAGCGCTAAGGCGAGCGTACGTCCCATCCTTTAACATAGACGTAAGACAGTCGTAGCGCTAAGGCGAGCGTAAGTCCCATCCTTTAACATAGACGTACGACAGTCGTAGCGCTAAGGCGAGCGTACGTCCCATCCTTTAAAATAGACGTACGACAGTCGTAGCGCTAAGGCGAGCGTAGGTCCCACCCTTTAACATAGACGTACGACAGTCGTAGCGCTAAGGCGAGCGTAGGTCCCACCCTTTAACATAGACGTACGACAGTCGTAGCGCTAAGGCGAGCGTACGTCCCACCCTTTAACATAGACGTACGACAGTCGTAGCGCTAAGGCGAGCGTAAGTCCCATCCTTTAACATAAACGTACGACAGTCGTAGCGCTAAGGCGAGCGTACGGTACACCCTTTAACATAGACGTACGACAGTCGTAGCGCTAAGGCGAGCGTAAGTCCCATCCTTTAACATAGACTTACGACAGTCGTAGCGCTAAGGCGAGCGTAAGTCCCATCCTTTAACATAGACGTACGACAGTCGTAGCGCTAAGGCGAGCGTACGTCCCATCCTTTAACATCGACGTACGACAGTCGAAGCGCTAAGGCGAGCGTACGTCCCATCCTTTAACATCGACGTACGACATTCGAAGCGCTAAGGCGAGCGTACGTCCCATCCTTTAACATAGACTTACGACAGTCGTAGCGCTAAGGCGAGCGTACGTCCCATCCTTTAACATAGACGTACGACAGTCGTAGCGCTAAGGCGAGCGTAAGTCCCATCCTTTAACATAGCCGTACGACAGTCGTAGCGCTAAGGCGAGCTTACGTCCCATTCTTTAACATAGACGTACGACAGTCGTAGCGCTAAGGCCATCGTAAGTTCCATCCTTTAACATAGACTTACGACAGTCGTAGCGCTAAGGTTTATTTTGGACAACGGCACCCAGGAACATTGTAATCAAATAGTCTCGCTGGAGCACTCATATTACACAGATCCCAAGCAAAACATTTGCAGCCAGAGTCAGCTGATTTTAGCATCTTGTTCGACTGCTGTATGAAAGGATATGTCGTTTATTGTGAGTCTACAGATTCTGAAGGATCGCATCAATTTTGTCTATGCACCACATAAAAATGAGACTTAGAAGACAATTATTTAGACACTGTAATACATAGAAAGAATTGTTATTAGTTTCTGCATTGTGAAATAGACAAAGAAACATTATTGACAACACGCTGAAGTAAGAAGTCCATAATAATAATATTTACAACATGCGGAAACAAGAAGTAAATGAATTATATTATTGACAACATGCTGAAGTAAGAAGTAAATGAATAATAATACTGACAACATGCTGAAGTTGGAAGTAGATGAATGATATTATTGACGACATGCTGAAGTAAGAACTAAATGAACAATGCTATTTACAACATGCTGAAGTAAGAAATGAATGAACAATGCTATTTACAACATGCTGAAGTAAGAAGTAAATGAATAATACTATTGACAGCATGCTGAAGTAAGAAGTAAATGAATAATACTATTGACAGCATGCTGAAGTAAGAAGTAAATGAATAATACTATTGACAGCATGCTGGAGTAAGAAGTAAATGAATAATACTATTTACAACATGCTGTAGTGAGTCAGTAAGACAGAACTTTTTTCAACACATTGAGCCGATGATGAAACACCTCGTTTATCTCCTAGTTGCTACACCACTGAGTTGACCCGTGAAGATCCGGGGTAGAATAGGTCTTCAGCAACCCATGCTTGCCGTAAAAGGCGACTATGCTTGTCGTAAGAGGCGACTAACGGGATCGGGTGGTCAGGCTCGCTGACTTGGTTGATGCATGTCATCGATCCCAAATGTGTGGATCGATGCTCATGATATTAATCACTGGATTGTCTGGTCCAGACTCGATTATTTACAGACCGCCGTCATATAGCTGGACTATTGCTGAGTGTGGCGTTAAACAAACAAACAAACAAACAAAACACCACTGAGTTACGTCCCTACCCAGTCCGCTACGAAACCGGCTGCGCCCCCTTTGCTATCCTGGTTAGTACTGGTCTTCACAAACCGAGGGTCACCGCAAGAGGCGACGAACGGTCGAGTGGTTGAGCTCACTGATGCGGTTGATGCATGTCATCGTGTCCCAGTTGAGTAGATTGGTGCTCAAGGTGTCACTGGACTAATTACAGCCCGCTGTCATAAAGCGTTGAAAACAACAAATAAGCAAACAAACAAACGAAGCTTGATGTAAAGGTTGTTGACAATTGTTAAAGCCACATATCCCATGGATAGGAGTAGCGGAACATTTACACCTTGAGATTGGGATAGTTTCTATAGTTTCAAGGTGAGGTGAAATAGGGTTTAACGAGGCTTCCAAGAATATCGCACTTACATAGCGACGTGCATGCACGTGTGTGTGGCTACTTGTTCTAGCCCGGATTGATGCCGATTTATAGTGCTAGCCCACTGAGACACCGTGCCGCAGTTTAACATGAATACCCCACTCGGACACAGTATACTGACTCCTAACCGAGCAGTCCTTGTTTTAGCCCCTTAATGCCGTGCGTCAGACAGGGTAACAACAAGTACGGTATTTTGACGCGGCCGGGAATCGAACCCCGCACCTTCAGGCTCTCCGGGCGGACGCTCTACCACTAGACCACAGAGGCGGTCTCTTTAGTTTTAAAGGAAATGAGTGTTAGGCGTACTGACTTTTAACAAGTTCCTTGACGCCGCCACAGATCAGGTCCTCGTTGTAGTTATCACAGGAAAACTTGACAAGAACTTTTCCGAATCTCTCATCTGTGGCGTTGAAAGTTGTGTTTGGGAAGGCGCTTGAAATGTCCTCCACGCCATGCCTAGCTAGCAGCACCTCCTTGGCGCTGCCGGTGGTGAGGTTGAACTCCGCCTGGTTGGAGCAGTAGTAGTTCCTGATATCCACTGAGAGGGTCACCTCTGTACCAAGGTCAAGGTCGTCCGTTTCTACATCGCTGCTGATGTTGCATGATGGCGGGCCTGTTGGTAGATTTTATTAAATTTTCTCTTTTTTACATTTGTTTTACATGTCATTGAAAAACTATGTAATCTTCTGATAAGAACAGAAATCTTCCAAACTGGGGTTTGCATGAATTTAGACATCGATCATATATCAATTACCCCATGAAGATCAGGGTTAGACGCGATCTTCAGTAACCCATGCTTGTCATAAGAGGCGACCAACGTGATCCGGTGGACTGGCTCGCTGACTATTATATATAGCAGTCATTGGATTGTCTGGTCCAGACGCAATTATTTTGTTTGTTTGTTATGTCTGTTTGTTCGTTGTTTAACGCCGGGTAAATAATCGTGTCTGGACCAGACAATCCAGTGATTGACAACATGAGCCTCGATCCACGCAATTGAGATCGATGACATGTTTGAAACAAGTCCGCGAGCCTGACCACCCAATCCCGTTCACTGCAAGCATGGATTGCTAAAGACCTATTCTACCCCGGATCTTCGCGGGTTCCAAATAGATGGAGTATTGCTAAGTGTGGCGTTAATTATAAACAAGTAAATGATATATCATATACCACATGACACACGATAGATGCATTGTCATTATACTTCATGGATGTGAAAACACAGCTTTATGATGGCGTCTGTAAACAATCGAATCTTGACCAGACAATCCAGTGACTTACATCATGATCTACGCAAATGGTTGGTTGGTTGGTTGTTTAACGCCTGATTCAGCAATATTTCAGCTATATGACGGCGGTCTGTAAATAATCGAGTCTGGACCAGACAATCCAGTGATTGACATCATGATTCACGCAAATGGTTGGTTGGTTGTTTAACGCCGCACTGAGCAATATTCCAGCTATATGACGGCGATCTGTAAATACTCCAGTCTGGACCAGACAATCCAGTGATTGACATCATGATCTCTACAAATGGTTGGTTGGTTGGTTGCCTTGTTGTTTAACGCCGCACTGAGCAATATTCCAGCTATATGACGGCGATCTGTAAATACTCCAGTCTGGACCAGACAATCCAGTGGCTGACATCATGATCTCTACATATGCCAGAACTACTCACTCTTTAACAACTGTCTTACTCCACCACAGTCAAGCTCCCAGCTGGTGTCGAGGCAGGTGAAGTTGAGCCGGACGTCCCCGAGCCGTGTCAATGTAACGTTCACGGTGCTGTATAGGACCTCATTTGTGTTGAGTGCAGCTTTATCATTTCGCAGCAACGTCTCGGTGACGTCACCAGTGGTAAGGTCAAACCCGGCTTGGTCCGAACAGGAGTAGTTCTTGATGTTCACTGTTATAGAGAGGTCTGTCCCGAGTTCCAGGGAAAGTGGATCCAGATCACTGCTAATGTTGCAAGTAGGCAGATCTGGAATGTTAACCGCTAAATATAGTAATGCATGTACAGTGCCGGACAAAGTAAAGTATACACTTGAAGATTGGATTTGCCTGAGTGAGTATGGTTATTCGAGCAATATCACGGCCAATAACATATGCAGGCATTACTGCATCAACGAACATACATAGATATACAAGCTTTTGAAATATATGGTTTACACAATATTATATTTTATTCAAAACGGATTGGTCAACAGTTGAAATTCCTATTTGAAAACATCTTCAATACAAGAATATTTACTTAAACTATCACAACACACAGTGGATGATAAAATGTTCAACATTAAATGTATTTAGATGCACAATAAATGTCTAATATGCTTTAAAGATTTGCTAAGTGTTTTATGAGGGTAAAAAAGCCATGAGCAGATTCTATTTAGTCTAACATTTCCTTCAGAATGACAGGGTTATATTTTAAAAATAATACCTTTTTAAGATCATAACCTTTAATATAGGTGAGTGAGTGAGAATGGTTTTAACAATATTCCAGCAATATCACGGCGGGGGACACCAGAAATTGGCTTCACACATTGTACACATGTCGGGAATCAAATCCGGGTCTTCGGCGTGACGAGCGAACGCTTTAACCACTAGGCTTCCCGACCGCCCCAGACTGAATTTAACCAAAAATTACAGCCATTATCAGAAGGTTACTTAGTGAAAACAGTCGCCGAAACACTGCAAAACTTAAGGTCCAAATTATAACTAGGATACCCATATCAGTGAGTGAGTGAGTGAGTTGGGTTCAACGCCGCTTTGATCAGTATTCCAGCTTTATGTGGGAGGAAAACCCCAAGTGATGCTGGTCTCAGTGAAACCCACGAGCACGGGTATGGAGCTCACAAACCTAGGAACAATTGCGGCGAACCCGGATTCGAACCCATAATAATAGGTTGCCACTCAGAACAGCGAACTGCGGCACCGTAAACGACTAGGGCCACCGTTTCCCCGATACCCCTATTAAATACATCCTCATTGAATAACCATTTCTTGTTTGTTTCTGTTTAAGTCACAATCAAACATAAGGGTTATAGGCTTAACGGGCGGTCGGGTAGCCTAGTGGTTAAAGCGTTGGCTCATCACGCCGAAGATCCGGGTTCGATTCCGACACGGGTACAGTGTGTGAAGCCCATTTCTGGTGTCCCCCACCGTGATATTGCTGGAATGTTGCTAAAAGCGGCGTAAAATCAAACTCACTCACTCAAGACTTTAGTTTCATTTGCCATGCAGTTTAGAATGATCCTACTTATAGTCATGTGTTGTACGTATTTTCACACCCTGAAGTAAATGCAAGGAGTATATCTATCACAAACACGTACTATGTAACACATAATTAGGGTTTTAATTGATAAATGGAGGTGGAAAAACAGAGTAGACAAAATATTGATGGAAAGGACATTGAAATACCGTTAAAACCAAACGGTACAACTTATATCATTGTTATGCGTGGTATTTAAACACATGTATGTCTACGATCTTCAGTGAGTCTATTATGATTATGCATCTGGTCTAAATAAAACAACATTCTAAACCCAAGCGAGAGAAAACCCACAATAGATAAAAATACCCATTTTTGTAACCAATAAAATAGAAGAACTTGAGATAAAAAGTAACATTTCCCAAATAATGATTAACTTCAAACTCACTTGCTGTCGTCAGATTACATATATCAGTATATATGTTTACATTTGCGTCTTTGATCCGCCAAAACCCGGAATCATACACTGAGATTCTGTCAATAGTCAGGGTAGACTGTGTTTCATTGTAAGTAGCGCTGTAGGTTGAAGTTCCACTACAGACGGGGTTGCATGTCACGACAAATTGGTTGTCTCTGGGATGAACCCATACAAATCCAGATAGATTCTTATGGTATCCAACCATAGAATAATGTGACTCCCAGATAGCCACTTGGGGACATGGAATTGCTGAAAAGTCAAAAGATGCTTCTGATTATTGGTATCATTGTGTTGTTTATAGTGTTCACCTATCCACCATCCATATAATTCGAGTTATCATCTTCATCATCACTATATATCAGAGAGACAGACAGACAGACAGACAGTTTATTCAGTAATTTAGGCATCAAGTTCCATAGTACAATGAAAACAAGCGAAACTTACATGTGGCATGTAGCTCTAGAAGGAATCAAGCTGGACAATCTTGAATAGTGAAAAGGTTGATAATGGTAAACAAGTCTGACGACACAATGTTAATTGTAATTTGAGCGAGAGAGAAAGAGAGAGAGGGGGGGGGGGGGGGGGGGGGAGAAAGAGAGATAGCGGACAAGAGAGAGACAAAGAGAGAGACAAAGAGAGAAATGGGCGAGAGACAGACAAAGAGAGAGGGGCGGGAGAGAGAGACAAAGAGAGAGGGGCGAGGGATAGACAAAGAGAGAGAGGGGCGAGAGAGAGAGAGACAAAGAGAGAGAGGGGCGTGATAGAGACAAAGAGAGAGGGGCGAGAGAGAGACAAAGAGAGATAGAGAGACAGACAAAGAGAGGGGAGAGAGACAGACAAAGAGAGAGGGGCGAGAGAGAGACAAAGAGAGAGCGAGAGAGAGAGAGACAAAGAGAGAGAGGGGCGAGAGAGAGAGGGGCGAGAGAGAGAGAGAGGGGGCGAGAGAGAGACAAAGAGAGGGCGAGAGAGAGAGAGACAAAGAGAGAGAGGGGCGAGAGAGAGACAAAGAGAGAGAGGGGCGAGAGGGAGACAAAGAGAAAGGGCGAGAGAGAGACAAAGAGAGAGAGAGAGAGACAAAGAGAGAGGCGAGAGAGAGACAAAGAGAGAGAGACAGACAGACAAAGGGAGAGGGTAGAGAGACAGACAGAGAGAGAGGGGGGCGAGAGAGAGACAAAGAAAGAGGGCGAGAGAGAGAGACAAAGAGAGAGAGGGGCGAGAGAGAGAGAGAGGGGGGCGAGAGAGAGACAAAGAGAGGGCGAGAGAGAGAGACAAAGAGAGAGAGGCGAGAGAGAGACAAAGAGAGAGAGGAGAGAGAGAGACAAAGAGAGAGAGAGAGACAGACAAAGAGAGAGGGGAGAGAGACAGACAAAGAGAGGGGCGAGAGAGACAAAGAAAGAGGGCGAGAGAGAGACAAAGAGAGAGAGAGACAAAGAGAGAGAGGGGCGAGAGAGAGACAAAGAGAGAGAGACAGACAAAGAGAGAGGGGAGAGAGACAGACAAAGAGAGAGGGGCGAGAGAGAGACAAAGGGAGAGGGCGAGATAGAGACAAAGAGAGAGGGCGAGAGAGAGACAAAGAGTGAGAGGCGAGAGAGAGACAAAGAGAGAGAGAGACAAAGAGAGAGGGCGAGAGAGACAAAGAGAGAGGGCGAGAGAGAGAGACAAAGAGAGAGAGGGGCGAGAGAGAGAGAGGGGCGAGAGAGAGACAGAGAGAGGGCGAGAGAGAGAGAGAGAGAGAGAAAGAGATGGGGGGGGGGGGGCTATCTCTCACCGGTTATACGCTGAACGAAGTAGATGGCAGCGACACTCAGAAGGATGTTAAGGGTTGGGGTCATCATGTTTCTGAGGACAGCAGCTGGGAGACAGTAAAAGGATATCTTAATTATTCGAGTTCATCTTCACTTCGTTTTCTTATCTTAAGTATCTCGTCAATTTGTTTCGAATCGATCTTCGCAACTGGGATATGATGACCTGCATCGTTCAAGTCCGTGAGTCCGACAACCCGATGCCGTTAATCGCCTCTTACGACCAATTTTTTCGGTCCCTCATCAGGAAAATTAATTGCTGGCATCTTAGTGATGGAGCCTCTTCCTCAGGGTGGAAGAATATGACATGTGTGTTCAGGGGTACCTGACCGACCCACCCGGAAAGCATAGTTTCCTTATCATTCAGGAACTAGTTAATTTGTGATCACAGGGCATTGTCGACAAACGGAAAGGCGTTCACAATGTCACAAGGCATTGTCGACAAACGGAAAGGCGTTTTCTTTCTAATCCATTTATTTAGTACCTTGTACACACAATCAATATACTTGAGATCGCTATGTTGAGAAGGAAAGAAAATACCAGGATAACATGTAACATGTTATCAAATGCGGAATAATAAACTTTTGAATCGATGTTCGACTGTGCCAAAAACGATACAATAGGTTTAATTCAATTGAATAAACGTATTTACCTAACTTTTGCAATACTTTAGACACAACGTCGGACACCAAATGTCCCATACTAGAATAAACTGTGGAACCTTTCAAGATTTCTTCCCTGTTTGTTTGTTTGTTGTTTAACGCCGCACTCAGCAATAGTCCATCTGAAGGGCGGCGGTATGTAAATTATCGAGTCTGGACCAGACAATCCAGTGATTGATATCATGAGCACCGATCTACGCAATTAGGATACGATTAAATGCATGAACCATGTCAACGAGCCTGACTACCCGATCCCGTTAGTCGTCTCTTACGACAAGCATAGTCGCCTTTTAGGGCAAGCAGGAGTTGCTGAAGACCTATTCTGACCCGGATCTTTACGGGTATCCAGAAGTCTGGGTAAAGTCCGCCCCCGTTAACCTATGCGAACAGTTGTAAGCGTGTAAATGGATCGAATGGTCAGGTTCAGTGACGTTGTTCATAATATCAATCACTGGTGTTTCTGGTCCAGAATCGATTACTTAAAACAACCGTAATAATGCTGGATTATCACAGATGTTGACGTGAACCCGAAGGTTGGTTGGTTGGTTGTTTTACGCCGCACTCAGCAATATTCCAGTTATATGACGGCGGTCTGTAAACAATCGTGTCTGGGCCAGGCAATCCAGTGATTAATATCATGAGCATGGATCCATGCAATTGGGATCGATGACATGCTTCAAGTCAGCGAGCCTGATCACCCGATCCCGTTGGCCGCCTCTTACGACGACAGAGTCGCTTTTTACAGCAAGCATGGGTTGCAAAAGCCCTATTCTATCCCGGATTTTCACAGGTCTAACCAGTATAGAGTAGTGTAAGAATAACCAGTAAAAGAAGTATGTGTATGTGTTGTGAAAAATGAGGTGAAATGGGGTTTAACGTCGCAATTGGGATCGATGACATGCATCAACCAAGTCAGCGAGCCTGACCACCCGATCCCGTTAGTCGCCTTTTACGACAAGCATAGTCGTCGAACCCGAAGGTAAGGATTCTGGAATCCTCATGATGTGAATCGATGCTAAGATTGTCAATCATTAGATTGTCTTGTTCAGATTTGATTAGTTATGACACGCCGTTATACAGCTTTAATATTGCTGAGTGCGGCGTTAAGCAATAACCACACAGGCAAAACACCCCAAAAGCCTGGAAATCTAAGTGGAATACCACACGATCCTGTTTGTTTCTTTCTGGTTAACGTCGCACTCAGCAATATTCTTTTACGTGAGTCATTATCAAGTGGCGAGGGATGTACCTCATTATTAGATGAGTTCATCATATGTGAGAAATATCATTACAATCTCATCCAGTAAAGTTAATATTCATGACATTGTTCCGTTACTGCTTCGGTATTGTGCGGACATACCAGCAGCTAGCATGGGTATTGTATGGACATACAAACACGGAGCATGGGTATTGTGGGGACATACCAACATGGAGCATGGGTATTGTGTGGACATACCAACATGGAGCATGGGTATAGTGCGGATATACCAACATAGAGCATGGGTATTGTGTGGACATACCAACACGGAGCATGGGTATTGTGTGGACATACCAACATGGAGCATGGGTTTTGTGTGGACATACCAACATGGAGCATGGGTTTTGTGTGGACATACAGACATGGAGCATGAGTATTGGGTGGACATACCAACATGGAGCATGAGTATTGTGTGGACATACTAACATGGAGCATGGACATACCAACAGCTAGCATGGGTATTGCGTGGACATACCAGCAGCTAGCACGGGTATTGTGTGGACATACCAGCATAGAGCATGGGTTTTGTGTGGACATACCAACATGGAGCATGGGTATTGTGTGGACATACCAGCATGGAGCATGAGTATTGTGTGGACATACCAGCATGGAGCATGAGTATTGTGTGGACATACCAACACGGAGCATGAGTATTGGGTGGACATACCAACATGGAGCATGGGTATAGTGCGGATATACCAACATAGAGCATGGGTATTGTGTGGACATACCAACACGGAGCATGGGTATTGTGTGGACATACCAACATGGAGCATGGGTTTTGTGTGGACATACCAACATGGAGCATGGGTTTTGTGTGGACATACCAACATGGAGCATGAGTATTGGGTGGACATACCAACATGGAGCATGAGTATTGTGTGGACATACTAACATGGAGCATGGACATACCAACAGCTAGCATGGGTATTGCGTGGACATACCAGCAGCTAGCACGGGTATTGTGTGGACATACCAGCATAGAGCATGGGTTTTGTGTGGACATACCAACATGGAGCATGGGTATTGTGTGGACATACCAGCATGGAGCATGAGTATTGTGTGGACATACCAGCATGGAGCATGAGTATTGTGTGGACATACCAACACGGAGCATGAGTATTGGGTGGACATACCAACATGGAGCATGGGTATTGTGTGGACATACCAACACGGAGCATGGGTATTGTGTGGACATACCAACATGGAGCATGAGTATTGGGTGGACATACCAACATGGAGCATGGGTTTTGTGTGGACATACGAACATGGAGCATGGGTATTGTGTGGATATACCAACATGGAGCATGAGTATTGTGTGGACATACCAACATGGAGCGTGGACATACCAACATGGAGCATGGGTATTGTGTGGACATACCAACAGCTAGCATGGGTATTGTGTGGACATACCGACAGCTTGCATGGGTATTGTGTGGACATATCAACATGGGACATGAGTATTGTGTGGACATAACAATAGCTAGCATGAGTATTGTGTGGACATACCAACAGCTAGCATGGATAATACGTGGACATACCAACAGCTTGCATGGGTATTGTGTGGATATACCAACATGGAGCATGAGTATTGTGTGGACATACCAACATGGAGCGTGGACATACCAACATGGAGCATGGGTATTGTGTGGACATACCAAGATGGAGCTTGGGTATTGTGTGGACATACCAACAGCTAGCATGGGTATTGTGTGGACATACCAACAGCTTGCATGGGTATTGTGTGGACATATCAACATGGGACATGAGTATTGTGTGGACATAACAATAGCTAGCATGAGTATTGTGTGGACATACCAACAGCTAGCATGGATAATACGTGGACATACCAACAGCTTGCATGGGTATTGTGTGGATATACCAACATGGAGCATGAGTATTGTGTGGACATACCAACATGGAGCGTGGACATACCAACATTGAGCATGGGTATTGTGTGGATATACCAACAGCTAGCATGGGTATTGTGTGGACATACCAACAGCTTGCATGGGTATTGTGTGGACATATCAACATGGGGCATGAGTATTGTGTGGACATAACAATAGCTAGCATGAGTATTGTGTGGACATACCAACAGCTAGCATGGATAATACGTTGACATACCAACAGCTTGCATGGGTATTGTGTGGATATACCAACATGGAGCATGAGTATTGTGTGGACATACCAACATGGAGCGTGGACATACCAACATGGAGCATGGGTATTGTGTGGACATACCAACATGGAGCATTGGTATTGTGTGGACATACCAACAGCTTGCATGGGTATTGTGTGGACATACCAACATGGGGCATGAGTATTGTGTGAACATACCAACATGGGGCATGAGAATTGTGTGGACATACCAACATGGGGCATGAGTATTGTGTGGACATACCAACATGGAGCATGAGTATTGCGTGGACATACCAGCAGCTAGCATCGTTATTGTTTGGACATACGAACATGGAGCATGGGTATTGCGTGGACATACCAACAAGGAGCATGGGTATTGCGTGGACATACCAACATGGAACATGGGTATTGTGTGGACATACCAACATGGAGCATGAGTATTGTGTGGACATACCAACATGGAGCGTGGACATACCAACATGGAGCATGGGTATTGTGTTGACATACCAACAGCTAGCATGGGTATTGTGTGGACATACCAACAGCTTGCATGGGTATTGTGTGGACATATCAACATGGGACATGAGTATTGTGTGGACATAACAATAGCTAGCATGAGTATTGTGTGGACATACCAACAGCTAGCATGGATAATACGTGGACATACCAACAGCTTGCATGGGTATTGTGTGGACATACCAACATGGAGCATGAGTATTGTGTGGACATACCAACATGGAGCGTGGACATACCAACATGGAGCATGGGTATTGTGTGGACATACCAAGATGGAGCTTGGGTATTGTGTGGACATACCAACAGCTTGCATGGGTATTGTGTGGACATACCAACAGCTTGCATGGGTATTGTGTGGACATATCAACATGGGACATGAGTATTGTGTGGACATAACAATAGCTAGCATGAGTATTGTGTGGACATACCAACAGCTAGCATGGATAATACGTGGACATACCAACAGCTTGCA